AACAACTAATGAGCCTTCCAGCATCAAGCCCTCCTCGTATCTGGACCTCCATCTGGACAATCCCACAGCCTTGATATCCGACATAGAAGAAGGTTTTACATTTAGTGTCGGATCATCGAGTCGTGACTGTGTGTGTGTGTGTATGTATATATATATATATATACACACACACACATACATATAGTATTCTTCTATATTATTCTTCTAACTTGGTCTTTGTGGCTCCTTCAAACTGTGTTTTTACTAAAAAATCTAAATGAAAATGCAGTTTCGTTTTTTAAGGTTGTCACACTAACATCCAACCAGCTGTTGGTCAGAACCCTACCGGTGTTGATCCGTCAGTGTTGGACTGTCTCCCTGTGGTCAGTCTGAACCTGAAGAACCGAGTTCTGTCAGAATCTGCTGGACCCGATGAATCATACAAACTGTGAAGACAAACACAGAGACAGAATTCAGTCACTTCAGTATTCTGGTTAAATTTCATCGTCCACTGAAGCTGAGCGTCACAGGTTCCACTCAGGTGAAGTCTCTGTGCCTCCCAAAGCTTTTAACAGTTTTCTCCGTCTTCATGAGCGCTCTGCTGGAGCTTTCTCATCCTCTGTGGAGCAGTCGGCTCTTCAGCTGCAGTTTGAATACAATACCAATAAAACTAGAACGTGTGATGTTATACATTTCACCCATAATCAGATTATTGATCTACAGGTTCTGGATCAGTGACATGATGAGAACTAACAGAACATTTCAGGTTTGATCTTCAATAGTTCCTCACATGTTGTTGTTCAGACAGAACAAACCTGTTGACGGTGGAACAACTGGATGTGTTTTTATAAAGACTCTATCTCACATCTGCCTTTTTTTTGGTATTGTTAATATTTTATTTTATTTTGGTATCTGTTTTCTGCTTCTTTGCACCAATGGACCAAGTCAAATTCCTGGTGATGTAAAAATTACTTGGCAATAAAACTGATTCTGATTCTGATAATCTTTGATGAATCAAACTAAGAATTTCTTAAATACCCACATTCAGGCAAGATGGTGAAACAGAATTAACATCTCGTTTGAGAACGTTCCTCCTCAAATCATGGAACAACGTCTTCTAAATGTTGACAAAAAACATTATATTAATGTTATAGGAACATTACTGGAAATTAAAATGCTCTGAAAACATTCTTTGAGACGTTTTGTTTATAAAATGATTAGAACTGGTAGAAAACGTTATCCAGTGTTGTGGGAACGTTCCCTGCCGTTTGGCTGGAGGTTCTCCGGGTTAAAGGTTCAGATGGAGAACTCAGATAAACCGAACGGCGAGGAGTCGGTCTGCGGGGACGTGGCGACGGATTACAGCTGCGCTCGTGACTCCGATAATCTCACCGACGGTTTTGTTAATCCTCAGAGAATTTACATAAGAGTCACGACTGCTACTGATGGAACCAGCACAGGTATGAATGTAGGGTTCAGGATGGGAAAAAGTCATGACTCTGAAGTTAGATAAACTATAAATAATGTCACGAAAACTTCCTGAGATCGGCCAGAATGCTGCAAGACAGGCACACAAATCACACCAACGTGGCAATAAGCTGCATAACTGCCCCTGGTGATGCTCAAATGGTGCTACACTAAAGTAAATGACTCAACTCGTGCAGAAAACTGCTGTATAGCATCTTATAATCCATCTTTGTTACATACATCTGGTACTGTGTCACGACTTTAGAATTGTGCTACCACCATAAAGCCACATTTATCATGTTAAGCTGGAATGAAATGGGCAATAAAGGCTGATAATAAACTGCAAAATGTGCTAAAATGCTAAACTGGTAACTGTTTATTGTGTTAGCTTGTAAAGAAATTAAAAATGAGTAAATGTGGAATACTGTTGGAGCTCAGAGGGAACCATGTTCAGCCAGAAACGGTGAAACCAAAGAGAACTTCCAACTGTCCGACAGTCTGTCATGTGTTCGGGAAAATTAAACAAATCCGAGCTTTAAATCAAGATTCTGCAGGTTCAGTATAAAATGTGTCAAATAATAAAACATTTGCAACCAATAAAT